CTGTCCGCACCTGGGCGGGGTGCCCGAGGCCTGACGGCCACAGGTCCTGCCTGGCCTCCGCTGGGGCGAGAAGGGCTGAGGAGGGAGAGGCTTGGGAGGCGGAGGCGGGAGGGTCGCCTCAGGGCCCTCTGCGCCCTGCGGGGTCCAGCGCTGCCCCGGGGGCACAGCGCAGCTGTCAGCCCTGGGCTCCGAGCGGTGACAGTGGGAAACGCTGAATGTGTCCCATGCCTGGGTGAGTACGGCCTTGGAAGGGAAGGCTTCCCGTTCTCACAGGTGACTGCTCGCTGCAGGCAGGACTCTGCAGCCCCGTGAAGACATGGAGCGGGCGTTCCTCAGTGGATGCCATCGTGCCGTCATCGCACAACAGCCGACAGGATGCGACTGCAGGGCCACAGTGTCACCCCAGAGCCTGCATCCATCTGGCAGACCAGCAGCCAGGAGGGGCCTGTTCTGTGGGAAAGGGGAAGGACAGATTGGCTGTGGTCACAGCAACTTGTATGAAGTGAGTGAACACACGGTAGTCTTCCCCTCATGTGAGGTTTCCTTAAGGGAAAAAAAAAAGTGCTTTTATTGCCCTACTCTCAGCCGGATAAGATGATAATGTGAATAATTTAAGCCCTTTCTTCATTCATCACAAGGAGATCATAGTTAAAGAGCGAGGTTAGAAAACAGTATCTCCTACTGCTGCTTTAGGAATAGGAAGATCTTAGTGCTTGTAGTTTACAAGTGAGCTACCCAGAAGTGGGAGCTGTGAACCAAACCTAACAGGGAACCCAGACAGTTGGGACTTGCTCAGTGCCAGCTTCAGCCAGATGCTTCTTCATTCACAAAGTGAACTGCCTCGAGCAGTGGGCCACCAGTTGTAGTGGTGTGGATAAGCACTGGTGATAAGCATGTATTTCTTTATATATGGTGAATGCAGATTGTATAATGCATCGTAACAATGAAGTGGTTAGTAAGAAAGCCGATAAAATGTTTCCATTCACTGAATGGAAACAAACTAGTGTTAGTGGCAAGAGGTGGAGAGAGTTGTTTTTTGGTTTGGTTTGGGGGTTTTTTCAATACATTTTTTATTCAATAATAAAATGTAGTTATGAGTTCTGCTTACCTTTGAAAGGCACTTACAATTTCTCAGTTGGAAAATATTCTCCCGGAGCTACATATTTTTTCCAAAGCTGTCTTAAATGCCTTGCAAAGGTGACAGTTATTCTAGGATAGCCTGCTCCTCATACTTGTTCTTCTTATGCACTAAACAAATAATTTTTTCACATTCACTCCAAAGTAGGCAGTACTTTTCCTCCCAGATTATAATTGAGCGTAGATGAATGCCCTAACCAGCTCTTAGATGTAATGTGGTAAATGTAATGAGGGGGTCATGAATATGAATCCATTTGTAAAGAGTACTTTATTGTTCTCCCAATAACTGACATGTTGCCTGAGGTGTACAATTCTTCAGGAAAATTTTCTGATTCAATTAAAGAGAATGGAAGGCCTTAACAAACTTGTTTATCTGGTTTGTCTGTTTACCTGTTTATCATTGCAGGTCCAAGGGGCATAGTTTCTCTGATACCTTTGGAACTTCACAAGTTAAATCGTTATCTAATACAATCACACTGACATGCACATTATCATGGAAATCACATCAGTACAGGTCTTCTTAGCATACTGTAAGTCAGCATGCACACTGCAAGCTTTAAAAGAACAAATAGCCTTTCCCTTCATCATCAGTTAGTTATAGTGATCTGTTAGTTCCCAAATTACCATGCACTTTTCATAACTAGACAAAACCTGAATGGTTCGAATGAAAGTCAAGCAGGGAAAAAATTAAACTAAGACTGAGCCTTTTCAAAAGGAAAATCTGTTTCCACTTATGTGAAGGAGGTCTTTACAGAAAAGATCTAATCTTTTTTAACTCACTGCTCCAGAAATACACCAAGAGTGTCAAGGCTTTCTGTTCTACTATTTTTGGTTCAGAGATGATGGTAAATATAACAGATACCAGCATTTCCTCTCTCAGTGCAAACTGGCAGAATATCTTCAGCATACACCAAAAAAACCCCAACCAACCAACTCCAAAAAACCACCAGCACATTAAAATTTCTATGGAAATATGAAATCGAGGTACTCTAGCATTTGGGGTTTTGGTTTTTTTTTTTTTGATAGTACATGTAGTTAAGCTTAGATGCATTGTGTTGATTTGCCTTGGAAGAAGTTACCCTGAGCCAAAGTTACCCTGTCCTATGCCATTTATTCAGCTTGTACATTGTTAGTGGTAATTGACTGTCTCAATGTAAAAATGTGTCTCTTTTTGCAGCCTTTAATCAGCAGCAGTAAACCACTGCAAATGGGCACCTCTGTGTTTGTTCTGGAGATTTTTAAGTATCTCAGGTGGTGCAAAGTAAATCAGTAAAGCAAACTGTTCTGGTTTCAGCCAGGATAGAGTTAATTTTCTTTTTAGTAGCCGGTACAGTGCTGTATTTTGGATTTAATATGAGAATAATGTTGGCAACACACTGAGGTTTTAGTTGTTTTTAAGTTGTTCTTACTCTAAATCAAGGATGTTTCTGTTTCCAGTGCTCTGCCAGTGAGGAGGTGCACAAAAAGCTGGAGGGGAACATGGCCAGGACAGCTGACCCAAACTGTCCAAAGGGATATTCCATACCATAGAACATCATACCCAGTATACAAATGGGGAAGGAGGTTCCAGTGGCTGCAGGGGGACAGGCTGGATATCGGTCAGCGAGTGGTGAGCATCACTTTTTTGCCTTGCGTTTTGTTTCTCTCTCTGTATTTCATTAAAATTAGTAGTAGTGTCAAATTATTACTATCTTTTATATTCTGTTTCAATTATTAAATTGTTCCTATCTCAATCCACGGGGTTTACCTTTTTTTTCCACTTTTTTGCTTACTGGGGCAGAGGTGGGGGAGTGAGTGAGCAGCTGCATGGGTGGGACTTAGTTGCCAGCTGGGGTTAAACCACAACACAAACTGTCTTGTCTCAGTTCAAAACTAAATGTCTAACTTGGCTGTAAACTGCAAGGAGAAGAAAGGTACTGCACACCAGAACTCTGAAGTTAGAGAGGAGGGGGATTACTGTGAGAAATTACTCCAAATTCCAAGCCAAAGGCTTACGTGACCAAACTTTATTATAACCACGTAGTTCCTATGGAAAGATGTGAACAAAAAAATTTAATGTGCTGGTATGTGCATGGCATATGCATGGGAATATGACTTGCTGAGAAGTTTGACTGTACGAAAAATAATCCCCAGTCCTGTAAAGATGTTCTTACATGTTTAATATAGCTTCAATATTTAATAATAATATTTTATCATTTTAAATATTATGCATAATTTATTAAGATTAAATATAGTAAGTATTAAATCACATATTGAGGCAATAAATAGAACTGGTCTGAATTTAAAAAAAATATTGAAACAAGCTTGTATTACCAAAGTGACAGCAAACTATTTCTGGACACAACTAGAGATAGCTCTAGCTTTTATGATTTTTTATTTTAAAAAAGATCAGAGAATGAGAATATACTCACATACAAGCTTCTAATATCTTTCTTGTTTGAAGAATTAGATCAGAATTTCCAGGATTGTCTCTAAATGGAACACAATTTTCTACTGCTTCCAACTTCTCTTTCCTTAGGTTTCATAAGGGATAGCAATGGAAAAATAAGTTTGCTTTCCTGGAAATCTTCTTTCTTGTGGGGTGGGGGAGATGTGAGAATTTTCATCAGTGGTTTTTGTCTGAAAGAAATGACCTAATGTTTCTTCAAGGAATCTTTAAAAATTAAAACCCACACCTTGACACAAATGTATGCACATGGCTGCTGATGGAGAAGGGTGATGATTAAAAATGTGCAAGACCACTTGAACTCTACAGTTATTTTCTTCAAATAAACATGTATGGGAGTAGATGACTCATCCTGCAAAGTACAGACTTATTGATTTCAAGCACTTCTATTGGAACTTCCTTGCCTGGACTTCAGGGGCTTGGGGTTATTTATTTATTTCTATATGAGTCAGAAGTTCTGAATAATATTTCTACTTAGTTGACCACAGAAGTGGAAGACAAAGCTCATAAAACTTTTTAGAGAGTCAGAAACCAAATTATTGTCAGGACAGAGAAGAGAGAAAAAGAAATAAAAAAATAAAAGGAGGATAGCAGGAAGCACAGATTTCATAGAGATGGTTAGTCAGTAAATGAACATCCACCAAGTTTTAGAATTTGTTGAAAACTGTAACTAAAAATTAATATATAAATGGAGATGGAAACTGTTCTCACTGAAGAATAGAAAAGTAAACATATTTCTAGCAGAAGTCAATGAGCAAAGGAAGTACTGATTAAAGACAAGAAAGCACTTACCAAGTTTTGTGGATGTTTAAACAGTTATCCAGTTCATAGGAAATGAAAAATCATAGACCTTGACACATCTAGTTCAGCCCTTTTTCCAAGGAAGGACCAACTGTCCCCACAACATTCCTGGCCAGTGTTTGTGAACCTGTTATAAAAGTTGTTTTGTTGATGGAAATCAAGCTTTTTCATGGACTGTTTTGCTATTCTCACTAAAAGAATTATTTCACCTGTTATTCTCCTCATATCCTATCACCAAAGGAATTTACTCCCTTCCTCTGTGCAACTACCTTTAAAATTACTTGAACGCTATTTTCACCTCTCACCATCAGTCTTCTCTGCACTAAGGAACTGAGTTCCTTCAGTCTTTTTTCACAAATCATGATTTCTAGACACAGTGTCAATAAGCATGAAGTCACCACTGAAGGGACAGAGGGATCTTGGATCTTTTTAGAAGAGCTCTAAGAGCACTGAGTCTAGGTGATGGCTTTTGTCAATTTGAGAGCTTCAGGAGCTCTGTGAGTCTTTTTTTTTTTTCTTGGTAACTGTCTTTTTTTTTTTTCTAAAAGAATCTCAAATTCCCTACAAGATGTCCTGAGTAATATTGTTCAGTTTAAATTATGTTCTAGAGAATGAAAAACAGCATCAACATCAGGTTTATAATAGCTGAGAATTGGGAGAGTTCCTGATTAGTATAGGAGGTCTCTTTGCTGAGAAATGTGACAGTGTATATCTGACTACTTTGCTAGGGGAAGAAGGGTCAACTGGTAATATAGTGCACCTAAGTATTGATGCTATGAGATATGGAATTAAAAAAGGAAATTTTAGCTCATTATGTAAGGGGAATTCTGTTGCCAGTCCTCATAATATGTGTATAATTCCATTCTGCAAAAAGCTTCCTGATAACTGGCTTGTAAGGGTAAGATTCATATTGAATAAGGTACAAGGGTGAAAAGGAAGATTGCTGCATGGATAAGGTTGTAAAAATGCATTCTAGTCTTCGGAAAAAAGTTACAGCCAAGATGGAAGTTTTAGGTTACCAACCAATTTAAAATACAGGTTTACTTCCAGCTTTACTATAGACTACTGGTCTGATTTTAAGGTGAATTTCTATGCCTTAGTTTTCCATTTGTAATGACTCACCATGAGTCAGGAGTGGATGACTCAGAGGTTGTGGACAGTACAGCTTCTATGGATTGAAATCAGAGCCAGCTTGACAGGTAGCAACATGGAGTTTCCTGCAATACACAGTAGCCTGAAAGACTAGCCATACATGTGCAGTGCAGTTCATGCAGGTCTGCTAAAATTTCCTTTTTACTTGAGACTGGCTTCAGCATTCATGTTGTTATAACCTTTAAGCATCTGAAAAATGAAAATTGTAGTACTTCTTTTTCTGATTTGTTTAATCTGTGATGTTCTTCAGGTAATTAAATGAGCTACAGTTACAGTATTTGTATTTTTCGTGCAACATAGTACAGCACTGTAATACAGTGTATAGCTGTAGTTGAAAAAACATATAACTGATTTAATTTTCAATAAGCTTTGTGTCATTCTAATGTACATTTTTATGTACAAACTGGGTTCTTTTAAATTATTGTCTATTGCCATTACTTCTTGCCTTTGAGTTTTGACATTCCGTCTGTCAATTCTGCAATTCCATAAGAATTTCAAATGTTCTGACTTAACATAAGTATCTCTATCTAACTAAAACAACCATAATAATCTAAATACCACTATATTTCCTTCCCTAAAAGTTCAGAAATGTAACTAAGAAATGAATGTTCTGCAAAGACCCAGTTGTTTCTATTTGCTTAATAACTTTAGTCTCTCAGTATCTATCATGTGGTTCACAACTTTACAGAAGCCAAAAAAAGCAGATGGTCTGAATACCGTTGTTCGTGCTCCCTCCCCATTAACACATATCATGGGAATCTATTCCTGAATATGGACTCGTCCTCTGAAGCACTGACATGTTAAAGAAAGGCCGTATAGTACCTGCTTGCATCAGACTCACTGAGTGCCTCCAGCTTTAGTCCAGTACTCCAAAATCTCATATCATTAGTTACCATTTACATTAAATACATAATGAAATTAGAATCCATCCAAATATTAAAAAAAAAATTAATTTTTGGAAACTAGGTGTAAAATTAAACTTTGCAGCATGCGTCATCCCAACTAGTTATTTCATCACACTGATTTGTAACACATCTGTTCTTGCTTGTGGACTTTATGAATGTTACTAAATAGGTAAGTAATTGGCCAAACATGTATTAGATTTACCTCTTTCAGATCCAAAGCCACAGCACAGCAGTCTCCACTGTGAGCAGGAAAGTGTGTGATTTCTTTCTATACCGCTCAGTGATAGATGTCAGCCCCACATGTGCAGCCACTCCTGCAGAGTTACGAAATGCTACTGTGTGGTGCCCAGGCTTCTCAGCATGTCTGTAAGAAAATGCATCATGGTTAATTATAGATTGCCATAAAACAGAACTAATTTCTGAATAATTCAGCTTTTGATATTAACTTTGCATCTGAAACCATTTTCCAATATGAGATGGAACAAAATATAAAGGCAGCATTGACCTCTAGTTGCATTAAGATTGGATTTAGGTAATTTCCTAAAATAAGGCATTCTTGAGCTTCCATTAGCTCTGTGAATGACCTCTAATCTCTTTAACACAAATTAAAAAAAAAAAGCTTCTTACTCTGTATTGTTTAAAAAACCTACATAAAGCAGCAGTGCCATCTCCTGCCTGCTTGCTTTCATGAATGCAAATACTCGATTTGTATTGCAAAGCAACCACAGGGAAGGTGGATTTTTCTGCTGGTAGGTAACTAAGGCAATAACATTTTCTAATACTTAGGGACAACATACATCTGCAGTTCCACAGATGCGGGCAGTTTTCACAAGTGAACTTTTTCTGAACATGGAAAAGAACTTCAGTCATTTGTCCAAGATTTCTAAAATATCACATCCCAGCCAGAACAGTAGCTCAAAATGTGTACACTTCTGTACTTGTACTGTACACAAGGAATACATTATACCTGTTAAATATGCTTCTATAGAGTTATCTGTACATAAATGTACATTTTTGAACAGATCTAACATATTCCCTTGGGGTTTGCACAAGTACAGCAAGTCCAAAGCATGAATGATTCATGTGCAGAGGAATAATTCAATGCAGTTGGGGTATATTTGATTGTATGCAAGCATTTGTGTGGTCCAACTGCAGTAGATCCAACAGGTCCCAGATATATCACGTGTGCTCTGAATCAATAGCACATAAGCAAGTTAGAAAGCTGGAAGTCCTATTTCAAGTACTTTCTTTTAAAAGGTGAAGTTATGGTAAATTACATTTTTCTGAACAAAAGTTGCCAGCAAAAGGCACACTGGGCCTTTATGGCTCCAGGGACTTCTTCCCCACATCAAGGAAGCAGGTCTGTATGTTTGCCATGCAGTACTGGACAATGCATTGTTGGATGGAGCTTGTAGGAAATATTAGATATGAGTTTGATTGTATCAGAAAAAGTGAAAAGGGGGAGAATTTCACTGTATGACTTTATCCTGTTGGAATATGTCCTTGGGGATTTTCACCACATGGGCACAACAGAATGTTGCTGACAATTATAAGCCTCTTCTTCCATGCAGTGATATATAAAATGGCTTCTGCCAAATGAACAAGATTTAATTGGTTTTTAATTTTTAGAATATTGTAGCTAGATACTCCAGTCTCTGCTTTACACCAGACTTTGACAGAGTGAGTGGCACTGATAGCTGATCTTTCACCTTTCCCCAGTAGTAAGTGTGATAATACTGCTGCCTGCAGAGGGGTGTCTACCTTTACATGAGACCCTAAACGAGGTGAGCAGGTGTATTCCCAGAATACAGAGTTAGAATTACAGTATTATCAGGGTTTTGTTTTACTGCTTATCGTTAGCTGGGAGAGGACAGTTTATGCTTCTGAGAATATTCATAAACATTACAATGCTTGGTGCAGGTCCCTTGCAGTCAGCTGTGCTCACCGAACTCCCTCTGCTGTGCCGATGTGTTATAGACCCTATGGACCAAACCTGGTACTGCTTAGTGATTCAGTTCTGGGGCTGACATCACCACTAACTTGATCAAGCATTGCTGCAGACTCAGCTTGTTGCCACTACTGTTGCCAGTTCAACCCAGCCACGTCCATCCCATAAATTCCTATGTGTTGGGCTCAGAAATGCTTTTGCATTTGATTCTGGCTTGGAATAAATAGAGCTAGATAAGAGTCTAGGAACAGAGGTTTCTACTAGATTGTTCTTGAACCTGGAAAGCTTCCCAAACCAGAATCTACTGTGAGTCATACAGGATGATCCAATTGCTCTTGGTTACTTGAATTCCTTTCTTGCACACAGTTGCATTCAATACACAAGAGGATGGACAATTCCATCCAAAGCAACAAAATATGGAATGATGGGTAAGGCATTTAATACTGAATGTAAATGATGATTCCCTAAGATAGATCTTCCCTTCCCACAGAATCACAAAGTTTCATTATTCTCATTTTCTCTCTTTTGAAGGCATATTTATTGTTAAGAACAAGTTAAGAACTATTGAAGACATTAACAGGTACTGAAGAACAGTCTCTGTCACTGTTTACCTCCGGAGGGGTAAAAAGGTAAAAGAAGTTCCTATAAAACATTTTGTTGATGAGATCTCAGTCCACACTCAGTTAATTGGCCTGTTTTGCAGGATTTAACCTGGTGGCATAAGAACCCTGAAATAAATCTCTTAGCTACGATTAGAGATGAAAGACAGATTAGCATGGGCAGGAGAGTTGAACTCTTTTTCTCTGTCTCCATTGGTGAGTCAGTGTGAAGACAGGACAACCAGAGACATCAGGAAATCAGTATTTCCATCATCCTCAGGATGTCTGATTCAGGTATTTTCTTCCTTGTATTCATGAAGTTACCAGTTTCAAGTTCCTATTCAGTCCTCTGAAGCAGGTTAGTAGTTTCTTTTACAGTGTCACAAATAGCAATGTGTGTTTACCTAAAATGGCAGATTTTAGCAAAATCAGTAAAATAAGATGTGATTTGTTTATGGCAAAATTGAAGCCAAATTTCTTTGGAAAATTTTTATCTAATAAGTAAATGTTATTAACAAGTAAATATCTGTGCTATGTCATGTTCTGTGTAGTTAGGGGAATTTGATAGCCAAGGAATAGGTAGGTAGCATCTTGGAAGCAAAAGGCTACTGTATGGTGATGGAAGCTGTGTTTAAAGTGAGTTAGGCAAGAAAAGCTTGAGAACAATATTGATATTGGGGAGAAATTCACACATTTATTTGGCTTCTTCTGTTGAAAGAAATATTTCTCCTTTATAGAATAAAATCCAGTTTGCTCTCCCATAGCCAGGGGAAAAAATTCCTGTGTGTCTGTGATTCATAACTCTGGAGTTGCTTCTCTGCAAAGGTTTCTAAGAATTTTGACAGAGGTGTTAATTCCACTGAACTGCTGGGAGTGGTTTTTGCTTTACAGTAACCTGCTGCCAAACACAAGAAGAGATACATGTTGCAGAGCAAGACTGACACTTTTAGCTGATAATTGCACTTCAGTTCTTTCACCTGGAAGAACTTTCTTCCTGGTGCTCAAAAAATGCTACAACACAGCTGTATGAGTGTCGCAAAACATCTTATGCAATAAATTTATTCAATACTTCATTAAACAGTTAGGGAAAGAAAAATGTTATGGTGTATTTACAAAATTCATTATGATGGGAAGAGAGTCTTCTCATTATCTGAAATTAATTCAGTAAACTGTTAGCATAGGTAAAAATAACCTCAAGATAAATATCCATGTAGAAGCTGTGAATACAGGAATGGAATGGGTAACTAGTTCTTCTGTCCCAGACTCAACGCACTCAGAGTTTCATGAGCAGCAGAGTGTGTCCCAGAGATCCTTTGTGCAATCCCAGGTATATCAGTGACAGCCAGGATCAGTCAACAAGTGGTCACTGCATATGAAAACCAGTCATTCTGCCCCCCTCCTCTGGCACTAGAGCTCATATGATCTTATGCTGCTGGAGGACTGTGGGGTGGGTACCTCTGTTAGATGAATACGAATATTTCATGAAATCTGGTCTTACAACAATACTAAAATTGCACCAAGGAATCTGGAAAAACCATACGAGAATTACTGGAGGCAAGGAATTACTAGGAGAGCTTCTCTTGAACAGAATTTTGGGTTTTTTAATTTTAGGCATCTGAAAATGGGGGAGGGAGCTACATCAGAATAGCTACGTGAGAATGAAATGTACCCCTGCTTATGGAATTCAGCTTCAAATTTCTCTATGGTTAGAATATGACAGAAAGTCTCAAATTAAAAAGCTTCCCAGCTTGCAGTAATGAACAGCTAAAACTTTCCCCTGAAGGAGGATAATGGTCTGCTAAACTCAGGTTTACACTTGAGCCTCAGTCTCCCCTTATGCCACAGGGACCCTCCCTGAGCTTGGACAAGCTGGTGCCTTCTCTGAAGTAATCATGGCCCCAAGCCTGCCAAAGCTCAAGGGGCATTTGGACAGTGCTCTCAGATACCTGGGTGGATTGTTGAGGTGTCCTGTGCAGAGCCAGGAGTGTGACTCGATGATCCAGCTTGGGTCCCTTACAACTTAGGATGTTCTGTGATTCTGTGAAATTTACAGCTTCCAGAATCAACAATGCCTCTTGAGCAGATGAATTTTAATTAAAGGTAAAACTGTTTACAACTTCTGTTGAAATGTTAAAGCAAAATATGTTTGGCAAGTAGGGTGTTTTCAGTGACGTGTGTGCCTAACAATTGAGACACATCTTGCAAGTACATACATATATTTCTTAGAAGCCAACAGTGTGTGATGTATTCATTCATATATGCTGGCCACGGCACATGAACTGCATAGCAGCAGTCAGGGAATTTCAAAACAGATTCTCTCTGTTGTGAGCTCCGAGACCTGAGTATCAGGGGCAAATAAACCTATTAGCAGCTGTCATCTACAGCTATATAAGGTCAAGTCACGAACTGCTTAACTGGTGAAGCAATCAAAGATACTGTCTCCAGGCTTATCGGGCAGGCTGTCAGCTGAATTCATATGGGGGCTTAATTCTGTGCCAGCAGAGCATGTTCAAATAAGGTCTGAAAGATACTGTAGAAGAATGGTGTGAAGAAAGTGTTGTAGTTTTATAAATGACTATTCTCTGGACTTGTTTGCACAGAGGTGTCTCTCATTGACATGATTATCACACTGTGATCACAATCAACATTCATCCCATTCCATGTGGGAATGACATTTAGGATTCTGACTGGAATATGAGGGGCTCAGAAAGAAAACCAGTCTATGATCGGTGGTAGGAGGGTTGGATTAAGGTGTGATTGTCACAGTTCTCAAGACAAAGAGAAAGAACTTCAGCTGCAGGAGCAGAGGTTAAGACAGTAATGGAGATTCCCTGAAGATTAAATAGGCCTTATTTAATATATCATGCTATTCCAAGAACTGTTTTTTAATAAGAACTTCCAGAAAGAAAGGGGGGTCTATCAGATAGAGAAAAAATAGAACATCCTACACTGATTTTTTTCTTAACGTGTGAAGATGTTCTGCTTTTTTTTGTAGGGTGATTTGTTATTTCACATAAAAATGGTAGTGCTTTTATGCCAGATGAAGTGGAAAAATGCAGTGGAGGATGTTCACCAAAAATATATTCAGGTCATAACACTTAATAAAATTTTGATAATCTTTTCCAGAAAACCAGCACAGTCATTGATCGTTTAACTATTTGTATAACATTTTGTCTCTGTTGATAACTGCAGTAATTTTCCCCCTGCATTTTTTTGCCAGAGTGATCATATCTTAGTACTGTACGTGTAGGGATAATACTTGCTTTTTGCTAGCAAAATCCCATTTTACTGCACATAATAAATGAAATTACTAAAACTACTCATAGGATACTGTGTTTCTGGTGTTACTTTCGCATTTTTTTCTATAGGGAAACAAGGCTTATGTGATTGTGCTGTATATATTTGTGTTTGTCCTGCTTATTTAACTTTTTAACACAAACCTGGCAATAATACAGTAATCTAAGAATAATAAATACCTATAATTATCAAGAAAATACAGGCAACAAGTTCAAGGGAAAAAACACTGTGAGTGTTCTGGAAGGAAAGCCAGCAGCCCAGCTCACCTCTAGACATCAGAAGGCCTGCACAGAAAATTACCCTTGACAAAAATCCACAGAAATCTAGAGTCATTGGTTGTACTGTTCACTTGTTTTCAATTGCTCTAGTTGGTCCTTAGAATTTCATTTTTTTTTTAAGTGTATGAAATTTAAGCAATAAATTTCACTGGGACACTCCCTGGGCAGGACTGAGAGTGCGTGAGGCTGCACAGGAAGTTCTCTGGTCTCTATAAATATCTGGTCAAACAGACGGTAATCTCTCTCTCTCTCTCTCTCTCTCTCTCCTTCAGATTGCTACTGCCTGCCTTGGACACATGCCCGTAATCAGCTTACGAGCTTCCCTTGACCTACGCTTCTTTTCCTAATGCTGATCTGACTATGGCTGTCCTCAAAGTAAAATTCACCAAAACTAAGAGGGACAAACTGGCCCAGATCTTATGGATACTCAACTGGGTTTCTGTAGTGAGCGGGATCATTCTCTTCAGTCTTGGCCTCTTTCTGAAAATAGAGATCAAGAAGCGCAATGAAGTGATGGCAAAAGGGGACATTAACTCTGTCCCCAACATGCTGATCTCTGTGGGGGTCATAGCATGTATCATCAACTTTCTGGGTGGAAAAATCTGCTATGACTGCTCAGATGCCAACAAGTTCTCTCGATGGAAACTTGTTATGCTGCCATATATCGTATGTACCTTCTGTTTTACCTTCTGCATCCTGGTGGGTGCTCTCATGTGCTACACCATGAAGAATGAGCTGGAAGAGTCTCTCTACCTGGGACTGAGGGATGCTATTAAGTTCTATAAAGACACAGACATTCCTGGACGATGTTTCTTAAAGAAAACAGTGGATTTGTTACAAATTGGATTCCACTGCTGTGGAAACAATGGCTTTAGAGACTGGTTTGAAATTCAGTGGGTATCTGCTCGTTATCTGAATATGGCTTCTAAGGAGGTTCAAGAGTAAGTATTTACTAGTCATAACAAAAAATTCTAGGAGAAAAATTCATTCAAGAAGGCAAAGTCTTTTTACTGGATCTTTGTATCTTAATCAAAAAACTGCAGAATGACCACATTACTCGCAAAATACGCTACCAACATGCACAATCAAAAGCTGCCTTTTGCTAACCTTTTAGGGATGCCAAGCAAAGCAAAGATGTACCTTTCCCTTTTTTTATGTGGTGAGTTAGCTACCTCAAAAATTTAATTTCAGTTGCAGTGAGCTGATAATGGAAAGAAAAAAAGGATTGCACGGTCAATCCTAAACACTGAAAGAACTTTCTCCTTCAAGGTATTAGATTCTGCAAAGCCAAGTTCAAATCTGTATGTTCACATGTGAGAAAGTGCCAAACAGGACGTACACTGAATAAAAAAGGAGAAAAAGCCTTTTTTTTTTTTTTTTGGTGGTAGTGCTTCACATGATGTAGCAACTGTGGAATTATATGTTCAAAAAGAAGAGTCTGGTAATACTTACAGATAGAAAAAGTAACAATTAAAATTTATGTAAGAAGACAATTTAGTATGTAATAATTCTTCTAAAGCTGAAAAAAGTCCTCACTGACAGGAGTGTAGTAGCTTTGTATTCCTTGGAAAGACAAACACAAAGAGTTTGACTGGCATTTGTCAAGTGCTTTGTTTTTTTGAACTCAAAAATAGGTGACAATAAAGGCAGAGTAAGGGAGGCCAAAGATCTTATTTTATCAGAATTTGCAACTTGAAACTGCTATCATAGCAAAGTGTATATACAGAGTTGCAAATATGCCAGAGTGCAGGACCTAGGAGAATACAGATAAGAGGTTATCAGCGTGCATAAGACAGTTGTCTGTGGAAATAAAACAAGATTTACAAGTGTTCTCAAGAGAGAAGTTAGGAAGTATCACATAGAACAGACTGACCCCGAGACTTTTTCAATCCTGGTTCCCCACTGAAAAGTGACATGACAACAAAGAACTGAAAGTAGTATCTTATTGTGAGGTTCAAAAGTAAAATATACTGCCTTTTATTTCTGTGAGGCATGCAGAAACAGTAATGTTTTATCCAGGGTCTTAACTAAACTGTTTTCTTCTGCAGGGTCACCTGTGCTCTGCAAATTTTTTTGAGAATACACTGTCAGTTAATTTTTGTCCCACTTTGGCAGAAGGTGACAGTGAAATGTGTGTGAGAGAAGTAATTTCAGAACTTTTTTTGCTGTGTATAAATTGGTTAATTTCATCTGGATTGCCAGAATGCAAGTTGGTGCTGCATAACCACATTATACCATGATTTCTAAAAGTCTGGCAGTGAAACATTTAATTAATGTGAAATCATTGGAAGCAAAGCCCAGCTGGTAATGTTCAGAAAGGATGGAGAAGGAATCAAACTGTTTTTTGGTTTCAACCTGTACTGTATGTCGGTTGGTAGATTAAGAAGCAAAGCAGCTGAGAACTGACATACTGTCCACTTACCTGTAACCTCTGTAAAACTGAACTTTTCACCTTTCCTCATGACCCTCTTCCCTCCCCTCTCTCCTATAGCTCCACTGCCAACACCTCAATGTGACAAGGCATGGAGACAGACAATGGGAATGGTCGGAAGATGAGGCAGGTTACAGCAGTACAATCCTGTTATTGCTTTTGTTAGGTGAAAGTCATCTTTTTTTTCAGTCTTAAAAGTAAATTTTTGCTTGACAATACCATAACAACTTTGAATTGCAACAACAAACAGCAGTGAATGCCTCACACACTCAGCTCAGTCACTGAGGTCTTACCTTCTAACAGTACCAACATTCTTTAATTTGCCACTGACAGAGAAAACACAATCACAGGAGGACATAGCCCAAGTCTGGAAACTGATGCTGTTGGCATTAGAAAGATTCCCCTTTATAACGTATGGTAGGAAGAATAATAAAAAAAAAGTTGAATTGATGCTTGGGATCAAAAGAAAAGATTAAGACCCAGTTTAAGAGATTGTATTTTATCCATTTTAGATGCTGTACCGTATCTGGGTCATTAAACATACATAAAGCCCTAAAATACAAAGGGCATTTTCCTGAAGCAGATACAAGCTTTCCTTTCATAATGTGCCAGTCTTCCTCTCCTCCCTCTGAGTCTTCTTTTCTCCTCCAGCATTCAAGTTTTCCATTTTGTGCCTCTCTGGCTCCATTCCTTATTTCCCTTTCAGCACATGGTTTTGCCTGTGCCCATGACACGGCTCACACACTTCAGTATAGTTTCAGTGCATTATTTGGGTTCTTTGCATTGGTTTCATTCTGCTGCCATTACCAGAAATATGATGGCCACAAAGTGAAGAGCTACACTTAAAAATGGAGAGGAATTCATGCCTATCCCACTCCTAGGTGGGAAATGGCAGATGCACTTGCTGACTTATTTGGAAAGATCTTTGAGAAAGATGGTTTTGAGAGTACCTTAAACAAAACAAAACACACACCATCACCCACATAAAAAAGAGAAAAAGGATGAGGAGAAACAAAGGAAAAAAGAGGGGAGGAAAAAAAAGGAGGGGGTAAAAAAAAAAGGAAAAATTGAGGAAAGAAGAAAAATGGAGGGGGGGGAGGGATAGGAGGTTGTATGTAGCAGGCTCACAGCAATAAAATAAAGGCAATTATCTTGCCATCAAAGCACTGCCACAAATACTGAGCTTCCTAGAAGCTTATGTTACATTTGAAAGTACTTCTCTTTAACTAGAAGTCATTGTGTGGACTTCTGTTTCCAAGCAGTATCCTTGTGCTGAAAATACTGAAGACTTCATGCTAAAGAGAAGGTAATACAAGGAAAACAGATATCACAGATTCATTTAACTGTCCCAGAAAATCATGATTAATTTGAGACTGTGTTCTCTTCCAATCCCATTTCCATTTTTTTTCTTATTCCTATTTTATCTTTCCTCTTTCTCCACATGTTTTCCTCCTGATCTTATGGGGGAGGGAAAGGAATAATTTTTAGCAATCAATACTATTTTTAAAGTTACAAAAAGTATAGTTTGAAGAAGCAGAAACTCGCTTGTGAATTAGTTTCAGAATATGTGCTGAACTAGCCATTGCAATGGGTACAGTGATGAGAGGCCAGCAGACAATTTCCAGTGGTTCTCATGGTATGCAAAGTTATTCTTGTATTAGGTTCTCTCCTAAGCAATGACTGAATTGAAAATCCATGCAGAAGTAGTGAAACAGGATTTGCAGGGACATAACTTCCATTAGAGTTCCACCAAGCTAAACACCTTCAGAAATTGTCTTTAGTATTTTCAGCACAAAGATACCTAAAAAGGCAACATCTCCATGAACACTGAACTCATGTCTTGTGGCACAGTACCACAAATCAGGTGAGGTGCTTATACTTAAATGTAGACCATTAAAAATTCCATTTTCCTGTAGTAAGCAACTTTTCCACTTGAAAATATATCCCCATTTTCCTTTTCTTACATTGGAGAGGCCTACATTGCAGCAGACTTGCATTACTTCTTTTGCTGAAATCACAGGCACCGCCTGCTGCTGATGCGACTTTTATAATTTCTGTCCTGCTGCAGCCGTCTAAAGAGCAATGTTGATGGGAAGTTCCTGGTGGATGGAGTACCCTTCAGCTGCTGCAACCCCAGCTCCCCACGGCCCTGCATCCAGTACCAGCTGACCAACAACAGTGCTCACTACAACTATGATTTTCTGACGGAGGAGCTCAATATCTGGGTGAAGGGGTGCCGAGAGGCCCTGCTGGATTACTACACCACTATTATGCGATCGATTGGCATTGCAGCATTGCTTATTTGGTTGTTTGAGGTAAGTCTCACAAAAATGGTCTGTGTCAGATTAATCAGAGTCTTGGAAACAAATATAGTGTAACATTAAAAGTGCCTCAGCAACCAAAGTCCACAGGCACTTCAGGAATGTTGCAGGACTTCCTTTAGTACAGGACTTTCCCAAAGTCCACAAAGCAGAAGCAAATTTCATTGAATTTGAGGACTATCAGGAATTACGTATATCATTCTGTATTTTTACAGAGCTTTTTCAATAGAATACAACATATTTTCTTCACTGAAGCACTACTGGATCAGATACAAGACGATATATGCACTCACACAACTGCAAGGAAATTACATGAGAAGGTCTGGGGGTAGTTTTAACTCAGTTTTAGCAAAGAATATACAAAATGCAAGCAGGTCTTTGGCTTAATAGAAAAATTTTGTTTATAGTTAAAATTGAGCATAAGTATTAATATCTCAAAGCCTCCTTTTTACATTATATATTCACCATATAAACAGTACTTGCAAATATGGCACTGATTATGCTGCTGATAATGCAATCAAAATAAGCACATCACAGGGAAGCATACACCCCTGGAAAGGTGCAGTCTTCCTGCTAATGTCTGTTAAGAGAGTTGTCTGGATGTTGTCATCCACAAGTAAAGGACCCCCAGTGGCACAGGCTACAACAGAGTTTTCTCATCTTTTTAATAAGTTTTAGTTTTCTCATTACTGCTCCATTACATAAATATTAGGACTGTAATTAAAATAGTTCACAGTCCTCAAGCAGTGCTTGGTGGTGGTGCCAGAAATAACAGGCCTTTAGCAGCATGTGAAAAAACCTGAGAACTGGCTCTCTGTGCTCCCTTAAATATTGACAATCTGGGCACACTGATCTTGATTGTGACAGAAACTATGACAGCAGGGCTTTTTCCAAAACTTATACTTGAGCCTCTGCTATAGGCTATCCTTTTTAATTTTCATACCTTGGCATGTAGGATACATATGGCTTACATATGAATGATTAAACCTCCTTGGAGGAACTATTGATTTAATCAAGGTCAGTGGGGAAAAAATCCATGGAAATTAACATAGTACTTTTTTTTTTCCCAGTGGCTGATGGTTCCACTAATTGATCATCCATTCTACATCAATTAGTTGCAGTCTCTGAGGCTGCAGGGTTCCCAAGTAATTCTAGGTATTTTTATGCTAGTAACATGCAAGGGGGATTGTTACCTGAAGAACGAAGAGAGAATCAATCCATCTCTCCCTTGTATTTTTCTTTCTAAAAAAATGCAATTAACTGGGAAAGTGGTTAGATATATTGCTCAGACAGAGTTTGTTTGCTTTACTCAATACTAGTTATGAGGCCTGTAAACACACAAGTCAGAAAGCTGACTTAGTGGTAGGCTTGAGGCTGTGATTTCAACTTGCTGTTTAACCCCTAACTATTTCTTACAGCTCTGTGTACTTGTTGGTGTTCGGTACCTACAAACAGCCATGAAGAATGTCCTTCTGCTCGGAGATCTGGAGGGTGAATCAGATGGTTGGTTACTAGAAAACAGTTTTGTGGAAACTGCCAAATACAACATCAGTATCATTAAGAACCTCGGCAAAGCCAACCAGATCTCCACTGTATCAGGCATGAATGACCCTAACATTAATGTTCAAAACACAGACTGTGGCAAAACCAATGTTTCAACAAAATCTATCCCTGCAGCTAGGTAGGCAAACCTTTGAAGGAACAACATCACAAGTTTAGCTTTGCTGTATTACAGTACTACAGTTACCAGATTTTTCACTGGTGGGGTAAAAAAGGAAAAAAAATGAAGACAATTGAACAAACCACAGACTGGTGACAGCTCCAAAACTGCTGATACTTCTTTGGATGGATGCATTTTTACTTGTGAAATCCCTGATTTTCAACACCGCACAAAACTTTTGGAATTTTTCCCACTTTCTCTCTTTACCTACAGAATTCTGTCATGGTCTGAACATGCCAGAGTAATCACTATGCACAAGCAAATGTTCCAGAGAGGATGAGTCCACATCTACTAACATACACATTAGTCTAATATGTACCAAAGTTTGTCCTTACTGTCATTACACCTACAGAAATCCCAGCAATGGAAATTCCCAAAGAAATTATTACACTTGATAAGATTCTTTACAAAAAAAGAGAAAAACTGAAATGAAAGCTCTGTTAGTCCAAGATAGGAGAGGAGAACTTTTAGCTGAAATGTACCTACATTGCAGCCCTTCTAAGAGAACCTACTAGCTAGATGAAACTGAAGGCAGTGAAAGTTACTGTAATGTATTTCATTTATATTTCCCAAAAAGTCTGAAGTGTGTCTTCATTTTTCCCCCTCCATAGTCTAGGCAAAGCCAGCTGCCACACCTCCCTGTAAGTCAAAGGGTACTGCTGAAAGGAGTTCTCTGCTTAAGGAACTGACAGCTCCTGCAAGGATATCTGAAATTCCAAGTAGCATGTGATAGCCCTAGTTTAAAAACAAGTAGATACTTCCCCTAAAACAAACACTGATGATGCTAGATACTTACAAGCTCCTCATTTCAAAAGTACTTACATTGATGCAGGGGCAGGAAGATAAGGGACTATGTGAAATCAATGAAGGCAAAGTCAGACTGACAGCTCTCCCATCACACTCCTAGAACAGAGCTCAGGAACTTTATTAATGCTTGGAGTGAAAGCCTTCAATGCCCAAGACACTTGTAGTTACATTAGTTATGACACTAATTCATCATTAGTAGTAAGGAGGAAAAACATATCGATACAAAATAGAGGTTAAAAGACAAAATAAAGTATTTTACTTGTTACTGCTGTGAGTGCATTCTTTGTGGATAGTCAAGTAAAAGAAGATATATCACTGGGATATTCAAAGCAGAACTATTCCTGCTTTTGAAATTGTGAAGAAGTAACAGTAAAAATTCCTTTACCTAACAACTGTTGTATTCTGTAACACTAGAAAATGCAAGGATTATACCGTAAGGATATATTGTAAATAAATTGTGGAATGTAATGATCTGTAGTGCAATTCAAGCAGGCTATATGCATGATCATAATTTCAAATGCAACTGCTTCACTGCTTAACATCTGAGGCCTATACTTAAGTATGTTAAAATTCCTTCAAAGAACTAGGTTTGTAAGCTGAGACTACCTTCCACAAGAGCCATTAACTCTTCCCTTTGCATTGCATTTACCTATGTTTCTATATTTCTAGTCTTCATTGCAATCACTTTGCTCAGTGTGGAATTAAAAATTAACTGGTGCATAATTCCCTCAGCTACTTCCGAGAGCCAAAAATACTTACCAGCTGCTCTATAATTAGTTGATACAGACTGGAAAAGAATTAATACAGTTTCCTTGAGAGATCAAGGAAAAGGACAGTCATATACTGCAAATTAATCAAATTTCCCAATAGCATATGGGGTTTTTTTAAATGCAGTATATTTCTTCAGGTAAGTATGCAAAGTGCCATGTGTCAGTCAATAGCAGTCACTTCCTCAAAACAATTCCAGTTGATCTACATTTGGAAAAACAGATCTCAATAACCAAAAGCTGTAAGATAATCAGAAATAATTCAGAGAAAACCAGAAATTACTCCTGTAGAGTTTTTTTTAATTAGGAAAAAATTGAATCAAGAGATCTAAGAATATGCAAATTCTAAAAAATAAAATGCTTTCAACAATTAAAAAAGAGAGGAATGGTTCAGCGTGATGAAAATGGTTGTAAATCAGGATATCAGAGCATAAAGAAAGAAAATCTTACTTTGTATTTTAGGAAACATTTCCATATTTCCTAATGGCAAAACACATTTAACTGTAGAAACAGATGACAACGGACATTTTGCACCACTTAAAAATCTCTTGGTCAAGTCTTAACTTGCAGAATTACAAGAACAGTGAACTTACTCCTTTGATAACTTTCTAGTTGACGGATTTGTCAAGACAGATTTGGAAGGAAGAGTGAACGGATCATCCAGCCTGAGCATCTCTTTAAAGACACAGAAATGTCAAGCGGTATTTGATGTAAAACATTATCATGAAGAACAGAGGTGTAAGTGTCCAGCTACACATCTTCCCTGGCCCCCACACAAGCTCATTTACTTGCATATGAAGAAAACACATTTTACTCTAAAAGACTAGTTAGCATTTAGCAAGTTAACCTTCTCTCTCAGCCAACTGCCAGAAACTGCAGCAGTGGAATGTGGTTGCTTTTGAAATTAACTGAGTTTCAGAATACATTTCACAGGGAACAGTCCTTGTCTGGCCTATTACCAGTGATTACTTAAGTCATTAAATTGTTGATTCCTATCCTGTCTAGGCATTCAGAGTCTCCACCAATATAGACACATTACAAAAAGATGATAGCTCATTTCACAGTAATCAGGATAAAATTTACTTTTCTTAATAAATGCTTTCTTCTTTGCTTTGTATTTATTGGTTTCCCCAGAATGTGGAAGTGCACCTTGATATACATCCAGCTTCCTTTACAGCACCTGTCACAATAGTTGGGATTTCCTGCAGTATTTAACATCACAGCCACTGGATCAAGACAACAAGCTCAGGCAGCAGCACTGACTCCACCTTAATTCTCTGTAATTGTTAAAGACAAAGATGGCATTAGCGAGTCAAGCCTTTAAGCCAGGGCATATGCTCAGATACAGAAATAAATACAACTTGAGGGACACTTCTTATCCTACTTATTATTAATGCTTAATCCAGTCAGAATTAATAACGATACAGCAACTTCCAGAGTAGGGCATTCATCTATGCATAAAACTATTTTCTTTATCAAGTTCTTAATTAAAACAAAATAAGATAAACACTGTAATGTTCAGTTTCTGGTGAAGGCACTATGATAGCTTCTATAGAAATTGCAATTACAATACTCTAAAGCTTTCTGATTACCACTGAAAACACTCTACATTGATCGTAAAGAAAAAATAATTAGCAAGAAATATAAAAATGTAGCACATTTAGGGTTTTGTTAAAATGAACACTGAACACAGCTCAAGCAGGAACTCTGGTACATTGGGATGAGCTCTCTCTGAGCTCTAGGCCTGCATCTCAACGCTTGTACCCACCTCAAAAGGGCAACATTACACTTTAGGCACACTTAAGAAGGAGGAAACAAAAGGTTCTGCAGTCTACTGAAAAAGATTAACCACGGCTCTTCACAAACATAGCAAGGACTCAAAACAACCATAAAATCCACAGCCCCCGCTTTGTGCTTCACAGCATTTTGCTGCAGCTTATTCACTCAAGCATGAAGCCCAAAAACCTCCTAAAATTAAGTTTGATGGACTGTAAGTTGTTTTACACTGATCTCATGAGCAACAGTCACAAGGAAATAAAAGAAAACTCTCAGGTCCCATTTTAATGTTTCATGTTTAACTTTACACCTCGTCTCCTCTTATTACTACATGAAATCATGTATATAGTCCCTTGGAATTTCAGCTCACTCTCCTTCAAGGCACATTTCCTTTACATTCAGTACGGTCGAAAGCAAAGCTGTGTAAGTTTAGAGAAATGTAGCTAGGATTAGGAATAACTAGATTTGAGAGACTTCTATAGGAGTGGATTTTCATTATTAGCCATTTTTTTCCTGTATCAACCCTCAAATTTAGCCTACCTGCAAAATACTCATGAAAACTAACAAAGAGATTTGTGCCACAGAAATGAAACAACTTCCATTTCTTAAGAAAGTATCTTTGAAGATCTTGGTAAGTAATAGGTTAGAAGAATCTAAGTAACAAACTTAAATGTTGTATCATGAATCTGACTAGTTTACAATGGAGATTATTCAGTGATATTGGCTAGAAAATAAAGTGTATTTCAACCATAAAGCAAAGCACATGATGGCCAAAATATTCCTCTATACTTTTTGTACACTAAGATTTTTACTATGCAAGAAATAGTGCTGTGGCTTTTTTCTTTTTTTTCCTAATTAACAGGATTCTTGTTCTAATATTCTTCAGAACATTTTTACTAGTAGACTTTATCTACCTCTACCTTTTACCTTTTCAGGAATTGATTCTTAAACACATTTGCTTTACTAAGAATAAGCATAAAGAGCAACACCATCAACACCCAAATTCTGTAAGCTTAATGGTGCCCAAAGCTACAACAGCAGAGGATGTGATGACAGTCAGCAGCCTGCAACATAAAAAGGGGCAAGAAGTACTGGCCATTTCTATGTGAAAGATTTCTTGACCGTTTGCTTAGCTCTATAATAAAACACCTTTTTTTTTTTTTAACATGTATCACACAGCACACCATACCAACACCACAAGGCTTCCCTTTCTAGAGGTTGTTCTAACAAACAGTTCTTATTTGACAAGATACAAAACCAGAATCACTCAACTCAATTGGTTTTAGGACATCAAAATATTAAATTATGCACTTAAAACTTATTTTACAAATTGAGGTAGACACTGCAGGAATTTGCATCTACAAAATACTGGGAAAAGTTTCAAGTGGCATATTTCTTTATGTAAGAAAAAGCACAGCATCATTCCTAATGGTACAAAAATTATACAGACTACAGGAGTAACTGGTATTGTCTACCAACCATTTACTAACCCTTCTCCTTTTTCATACTGACAGACACCGCTATGATGCTCTTGTAAAAAGAACTGTGAGGTGTCAAATAAAAATTGAATAATCTACGAGAAGTTACTTTATTTCTTTTTTTTTTTTAAATATACATATACAAGATATTTTATTTCAAAAGCACAAGAACATTATACAAGTTTCAAATTTACATTTTTGCAATTAAAGATACCAGTATGTGCATTATCAAATAACTTCTGTCAGCTTGGATGGAACAGAAATCAGTGGCATAAGCATCTTGCAATCACTAAATACAGATTATACTCACAGTGAACAAAACTGCATAGTAATTTATGAAATGAAAGATGACCACGCTAGTCCATGAATGATATGGGAGCCCATTTGCTAAATTAGTATGTGCAAACGTGCAGAAAGATGCAACTTTCTTCTCCCACTTCTTCAGCTACAAAGAGATTTCTAGAGCTTTAAACAAGCTCACCTGCTCATACCAACTCCTCTTCTTATATACTACAGTTCAGACAGAAAACAAAATAAAGTGATCTCACTGCATATTTGACAATGGAATTGTTGCATCAGTGAAGTGCGAGATAACTGAAAGTTTTTTTGATAAATGAATTAGTAAATATCAGAGGGAAACAGTAAGAGAATACAGCTTGGTATCAATGAGGCATACATCTGCTAGTATTAATTCAATATTTTTGTTGGTAAGAAGTGTTTTGATGACATAAAAATCATCAGTGCATGCAAGTTTTCATGACAACTGTTCTAAATTCAGTATGTGAAGACTAACAGAATTAATGTTTGTCTTCAAAGAGTTTAATATTCAGGTTTAAAATCCAATAGAATCAAAATAAGGAGAATGGTCTTAATTTAAAGAAACAGAATACCTTAAAAATATACCAAAGCAAACGTTTTGTATCACCAGGGAAGGATTACAGCAAAAGTTTTTAAGTAGTATTTGAAACTAGAACAATATTTGAATTAATTGGTATTCCATTTTTAGATTAGTTATGGTGCTGTTCAGTGCACTTATACATACATAC